GTGTCACAGAGATGCCGGGCTGCAAATACTTTTAATTTGTTGGGTGTTGAGCAGAAACTTGTATGGAAACCGACCAACGAACTAAACTTGTCGTGATTTACGTTGTTTACCTCCTTTTCCCTTCCGTGGGTGGGTGGGTGGCTTTTAATCTGCAAAAAGCAAAATTTGATCCCATCCCGTGTTTTGTGCCGAGATCTTTCTAATTATTTTACATACACTTGGGGGCAGGGGAGGCATAAACAGAATATCTCATTCCTCATACTTTTTACTCTTTAAACTGTGTAAAGAAGGATGTTTTAAATACTTTGTTGTTCCATCCACGTCCACGTCCACGTCCCCCTTGATGACGATACTGTGTGTCTGGTTGCATCCGTCGTCGTGGTTTTAGTTGCCATGAGATTTCTCTCTCTCTCTCTCTGAATTTTGTGTTTGTTTGTGTTTGTGTATGTATAGCCTGGCCTGGTTGATATTTAGGATGCTGGGATGGGGTGTGTAAATGGATGGAAGAAGGAAAATAGGTACATACATACAAGTGGATGAGCTGATCTGTGAGCATACTGTGTAAACAAGCCCACGTCACCCAAGCCCATAAGTGATGATGGCGAGAGTTAGTTGTATATGTACGTATTTACTACGTGGGGAATAATGGGATGGGATGTGTTGATATGGATGAGAATGAGTGCTCACCAAGCATCCATCCCTTGTCGAGAAGGAGAGAGCTAATAATAGGAGGAGAGAGAGAGAGGAAGTCGAGATCGCATTGTGTGTTTGTGTTTCGTTTCGTTTTCGTACCGATGGGGCTAAATTGTACGAGAGCTGGTTGGGGTGAAAAGATGGAGAAATGCAGCTTCTTCTCGGAGGATAAACAAAAACGAGTCTCATCACGCCACGCAACACGAACGGACTGCTTATTCAAAGTGTGCGAGGAGTTGTTTATCAGATTTTCTTTACTTTTCTCTCTCTCTCTCTCTACCCCTTGATGATGAAAAAATGAAGCAGATTTATTATAACAACTAAACCCCACAGTACAGCACCATTTGGTCCGTGTTTACTCAATTTGACAGATGGGAAACAGGGTAGCACAGCATCTACATACATACACAGACAAACAACGTCGTCGTCGTATCAACAACAGTCAGGCGTAAGCAAGCAGTTCCAGATATCTGTCCTGCCAGAGAGAGAGAGATGCCCTCATTATTAGTGCCATGTTCTGTGTAATAATAATAAATGGGGAAATATGTGTGTCTAATTTTATACTAGGGTTTGTACATAGCATCGTCATCTTTAATGACAAGGGCGAATTTTGCATCTAAATTCGAAAGCACAATTAAAAATCGGAGGAGATATGAGATTAACGAGGGACGCGTCATAATAATAATAGCAGTGCGAGCAGTGGCCGCGGAGGGTGTGGGGACATTAACATTGTAGGATAGATAGGGGAGGGCCGGGTTTATATAAGATGGGGAGATGATGCGGACATCCGTGGGGACATTGTCCCTCTGTCCCTTCCGCGTCCACTGAGTGCGAGGGGCTTCTTTTGTACTCCTTATTTATTTCAAAGTCATTTATATGCTAATAATCGTAAACCGTTTGTTTGCTACTAGAACTTTTTTATGAGAACGAAAATGTAATAAAATCATGAGGCACAATTTCAAATTGTGATAATTCGTTAAGCGTCAGAGGAGGAGGAAGGGGGAAAGTGTCGTCTCGTTGTTGTTGTGGTCAGTCTTGAAGTCAAAGTATGTGACGGGGTGGGTGCCATGGTCTGGTCCGAATGCAGATAGCAGATAGCCCACAAAATTGATGAGGACGTTTAGATTTAAACGCTGTGGTGGTGGTCACCGTTGCAAGTTCACGGTCCTCCTCGTCCTCATGTGTGTGAAGCCAGATTGTGGGATCAGGGCGGACAGGATGTGCCCCTATCTAGTTACCCGGTTACTCGGTGATACATACTTTTGCTGGTTGGTGGGTGAGAGAGGCAGAGGAAGAAATTAAAGTGGGGTATCGTGTTCACACACCATTTGAGTGCTTTCTCTGACCTCCCCATTTTTCAGTGGGATGGGGCTTCAGTGACCAAACCATCAACTACGATGACACCTGTTCTCTCCAAATTACCCACTTGTGATGACCACGCTTTATCTCCGGATACAATGAATGGGCTTCACTTTCTGGAAATTGTTTTCACTCCTTTCCCCCACATATCTCACTGGCATTGACGTATCGGCAGGAGTCGCTCTGTAACTACGTCCACGTTGCATTGTTGTCGTCTCGTTTTCGACGAGAAAATTATGCTCATGAGTGATTTAGTTTTATTGAAATTGAGAGAGTGAGATGACGAGGTAAAGCTGACTTGGTCCTCTTTTCGGATGGAAGAACTCGAGTTTTTCGGATACACAGATACCACCCCAACAGACAGCCCCGTGAGTGAAGGGAACTCTGTTCATACATTTGATGCATATTTGGTGTTGGCAAGTCATTAATCGTGCCTAAGTATTTTGGGGATGAAGGCTTGTCATATCTCCAGATGTGCCGTCTTGTTCTTCTTCTCGAGAATAAATACAAGACGGCTTCTTCCTCCTCCAGGAGCCGTCTTTGCCAAAAAATGTATGTATGAGAAACGAAATATCCAAGAAATATACTAGGCCGTAATCAATTTCAGGTTGAGCACATCAAACTCATCCTCAGTTATCAGTCCAACCACGAAACACAATAGGGAGAAAATAGTAGTGAGCTTATAACATCATCAGTCTGGCGGGGGAGCGTATCAATCAATGTGAAAAAGTGGGGGTTCTCTTATTTTTACAATTGATCCCTAACTTCCTCCAGTTGCATATTTCATTTTTTGCCAAAATCTTATATATACCACCACCACCCTCCGCTGCCTCCTCCCACAGTCGGCGGCAGGTACATATTCCTCGTGCCAGAGATACGCTTCATTAAGTTCAGACTCATCACGGGAGAAAAGAAGTCGTGGTCTGTTTGCATCCACGTGTACGGACACACATTTTTTATACATAGGTAGTAGAAAAATAAGTAAGTCTGTGACTGCCTAAATTTTGGGTATGTTTGCATCCACGTGTACATAGCACATTGTTGTATAGGTAGCAAATAAGGAAGTGTTTGACTCCCTAACTTTGCATCTAGTCTCGTAATTCATCCCTTAAAAAGTACCCACTTCTTCTATCATTTCTCTCCAGTGGCTGCGGAAGCCGTGGGGACGTTAACATTGTAGGATAGGGGAGTGACGGGTTTATGTAAGATGAAAGGGACGTCGAACAACCGTGGGGACATTGTCCCTCTGTCCCCACGCATCCGCGGCCGCTGTTTCTCTCACTAAAATCGTGCTGGAGTTATCCGTTTGCATCCACGTGTACCCACACACATTGTAAATTTACAGATAGCAAAATAAGCAACTCTGTCCCTCCCAAAATTTGCATCTATCTTGTCCCGTAATCCATCCCCCTAAAGGAAGCATTTCTCCAGAGGCAATGAGGCAACTCAAGACTGCGCTCCCATCCATGAAAACGGTTCTCATGTTGCTTTACTTACACACGCACCACCACCAGAACTTCGGAGTGAATCAGGAACATTTCATTCAGGATGAGAAAATACCGTCTGGTTCGGATTTAGTGGAAAAATTACGTTTTGTTTGATTTTCTCAAATGTATGCTGTGTTAATGGAGTTTCACCGTCTCCTCCTTTGAATTGATTTCAAGAATCTGGAGAGAGATGCCTGCTCGAGAACATCTTTGCCATTTCGACTCCATTAAAAATGTTATTTGAGAGTTTTTCATTGATTTACAGATCAGGGAGCACTTAGCAGTCGTTCCTTTGCACCTTCTCCTTGCGCTATCGGAAAGCGTGGTGGGTGGGGGGGGGAGGGGGGAAGGAAAGGCAAATAGGCAACTTCCTCCTCGCACCCATCGTCAGCATTTCACTGCTTTCAAGAGCGTCTTAAAAAGCGATGATACCTATTTAGCAAATGAAAGCATTCATTCGAGCCACTTTCTCCTCAAACTGGGTGGTCTGGTTGGAGATCAGATCCCCCCACAACAAGACAGACGGGATAGCAGTAATAAGGGCTAAGTGCCACTCAAAATCAGTCAACTCAATTTGTGGAAGCACGCAGTTTTCGTACAGAATTTTAGATATTTTATCATCCAAACTGAAGCATTGTTTGCAAGTTGTTATTTAAAATTGTTCTTCTCTTCTTGACATTTAAATTACAAATGATTCATTTTTTTCCTTACACAACTTTTCCTCTTTTTTTAATCCAATATAAAAAAACTGGATTGAATGAAAGCGAAATACAGAAATGTTTGTTAGCTAGGGAAAAAATCAGCAAGGAGAAGATTGACTTTTCTCAAGCGAGAAGTTAAACTTCCTTCTTTTTACTTCATTTGGTAAACAGAATGGGAAACGAAGAGACATATTTCCTCGCTCGTCGGTCGGGTACCAGATTGCTGCTGCTCAACCCGATTAATTTTTCCAATTCCAACGAACCATTTTTTTAATATTGTGACACTCCTCGAGAGGTTTCCTCATATGCATAGATTTCCGAATTCTCTGCCGTTCTCCTTCATCAGTTCGGTCGTCGCCTCCTCCTCCTCGATCCATTCAGCGTCTTAATTGTAATCCACTTTCACCATTCAATGAGTCTCAGAGTCAGTCAAATTCAGACAGTTTGGAAAACTCGGTGTGGTCCAACATTCATTTTTTTATACACGGTTTCCCATCTCCCTTCAAGTTGAATAAGTAAAAGAGGAGAAAAAAAGACGGGTTTATTAACGGTGAAAATTTTGTCGGAAATATATTTCGTATTTTTTTATATATTTCCTCACATACATATTTTGTAGTATTTCATCTCGGCTTCACCTACTTTCCCATCAAGGCACCGGAGGAAAAAAAACACTGGTTTATTAAGACGGTGAAAATTTTCTCGGAAATATATTTCACATTTTTTATTTTATACATATATATTTCCCCATATACATATTTTGTATTTCATCCATCTCGCCTTCACCTACTTTCCCATTCATTCATCTTCCAACTTTTTTTATTATCTTCTCCTCGTCGTAAAAGGCAATTGAAAAAGGGTGCGAATTTATTTCCTCCTCTTGTTATTGCATGGAAATGAGTTCAGGATGCAGTTAAGGCTGAAGAAAATTCTTGTTTGTTTCCTTCCTTCCGCTTTCTCTTCCATCCAGATTAAGAAAGTGGGAAGAAAGCAGCAAATTTGAACAAATGAGTGCTTATGTTTTCCTCCCGCAAGCCGCCACAAGTACAAACAGAGGAGAAAGCACGGGTATCATCTCCTCTCCCGGTGGCACGGTGTTGTTGACTGATGACAGAATTCTGGGGAACTTTGAGTCTAGTACATCTTAAAAGCCTGCTGTTCTGTTCTGTTGGTTGGCTACTACCCGGCTTGGTAAACAAGTAGTTGGGAAACTACACTACATTCGCCGGTATTGATTTATTTCCTCGGGAGGAGAACACAACAAAATATTGTGAAGAGGCCACATCGCGCAGGCAAGTACACACACAACAGGGAAAGCAAGCAAGCAAGCAAACATGTATGTTTGATGATGTGTACTGCTTTACAAGTTCAGTACACAAGTTGATCTTGCCCTCGATACACTCATCGCCTTTCTCTCTCCTCTCCCATTCCCGTGGCTGCTGCTAAACCTTACCTCCTCTCTCTCTCGGCTGCCTTGATGTACAAACAATTCGACCAGACCAGAACCAATACCATTTTCTTCTTGATAAGATAAGATAATACATAGTTGATAAGAGCAACATCCGTCCGTCCACAGTGAGACGAACGAGACCCAGACCAACGTCTGACAGACTGAGACGACAGCATCGTTTTGAGACCAAGAAGACGTCGCAGTGCAAGCCAGACTGTGTAGTCGTGTGATAATAAATATTTCTATTTTGTGGAAACTCTCTACGACCACGACCACGTGTTGGAACCGGTAAAAAAAGGAGAGAGAGAGAACTTTAAAAGCTGGCAGACTTGTCGTTTTCTTCCAGAAAAAAAAGAAACTTAGAGTGGTCCACTTTCTCTCCATGTCATTCATTCACGAATATGTAGAAGGTCACAGATATATCTATTTCTTGAGAAATTAACGTAACAAATCACGCTTTCCTCGACGACATATCCGGCATATCGTGTTCTTCTCGGGAACTTGAGACTATAGCGGGTGTATATTTTTAAAACGGTCGCTTTCACCGACACCCACCCACCCACCTTACTTAAATAGTCTGAAGAAAATCAATAAATAGAGGAATTGGACGCCAGGGAGGGAGAAGATTGGTAGCAAAGTTTGTGAACTTTTGAGGCCATCTCGATCCATTCTGAAGCAGGACCAGATGCACGTACCTGTGTGGGATAAGGCTGAAGACACGCTGTCACCGGTACTTTTTTCATTTTTATATTTCTCCAACTTTCTCCGCACATGCACCTCGTGAGGAATTCCGTGCTCATAAATTGTCCCCAAGTTTACCATGTGCCGCTCTACCATGTCCCGTTCACTTACTAATCCCGGTTGAGGGTAAAAAAAACTCGTTGAATTTTCACTTTGGACGTATGTATCACTACGAATACGATCTTGCAGGCTGATAAGACTGGTGGTGGTTCTAGGGGCGTCAAATCACGTTAAGTATTCAGCATCACTCCTCCCTGTCAATGATCTGATCAGAATGCTATGTATCGTGATATGTACAAATGTCCACTCGGTGTACATATCCCCCATTCTTCTTCAAGTCGAAAATTTAACAAGGTCGGCTTTACGATTGAATTTATTTTGTCACACTTATTCCACCTCCTAAAAAATCTGCTTATATTGAGGCCAAGCAGGAGGGAGGGAGACATGTATGTATGTATGCACTCCTGATTACTTCTATGTATGTATGTCTGGCAGTGTCCGTTTCTTGTTTTTCCGTTTAATCTACATCTATCATCAAATGTTTCATGTTTTATTCAACAAAGTGGCAAAAAGACCTTCGAACTGGCATCAATCTTATCCACTTATTCCGTCCCAATAAAGAGTGCACGGCGACAAATCTGGACTCCATAAATCTACCACATCCTCCGTTCCTTCCTCTCTCATCTCTGTCCGTCTGTCCCTGTAACCTTCTCAGAAATGGGGAGGAAGACAAGGAATAAAATTCGTATCCCATCCATTTCGTCATTATTTTTCCCCTACCTTCTTCTTCCCGAAAAGAAAGAAAGTGGAAGAAGGAAATCGAGAACTTTGTAAATACCGTGTTGTTCACGGTGTTTTCTGAGGTGGTGCAAATATAAATAGAATTTAGGATGTATGTACATATGTACGAGACTTGTTGTTCCCAGTTTTGTTATTCGGAAAGCAACAAACCACATAAAATATCAGACGACGACGACTTGTTTTCTTATTCTTTCCCACTTTTGACAATGTTTTTGTTTGTTTTGAATTTAGACTTGTTTACCACTTTTCCTCTTCTCGGTGTTGTTCTTGCTCTTCTTTTCGACATTAAAACAAAGATCTCTCGATATCGTTCAGTGGCTGCGGAAGCTTGAGAGACAATGTCCCCACGGTTGTTCGATGTCGGCATCATCTCCCCATCCGGCCCTCCCCTGTTAATGTCCCCACACCTTCTTCCGCGGCCCCTGTCTTGCTTGTCAGTCGTGCTAAAATTCAATGTCACTGGGGCATGAATAAATATGAATTTCAGTATTTTTTCTTGTACATTCTTACTTCTCCCCATCCACCTCCTCCTCAAACTATCCAAGATAAGTGCCCGACTTGTTGTTGGTCTGGATAAATATGGTGTATAAATGATAACAACATCATAATTTAATCTGCATTAGGTTTCAGCATGAGTGCACCACCACGAGGGAATAAAGGGATACAGCTTTTTTTCACTCGCTCCAGGCCAACCTTACGTTACGTTAGGATTTCCTCCTTTTCGGTAAACTAATCCAATCCGAGTTGTAATAAAGTTGTTGGTCTTTTTGGGCGGAGGTTTGCTTTTGCTTTCACTTTTCGTCTCTCTCTCCTGATGAACATATTTCGTTACATTGGAAAAGGTTGCTGGGAGAGAAGATTATCCAGGTTTGAGTTACATGAAAGAGCTGATTTCTCTCCTCACTCACTTACTTACGTAATGTACTCTCACCAGCAGCAGCAGCATCCTGTCACAATACATCTCTCGTCACCATGCACCACCACCACGACGGCCTCGTCTCACTCACTCGTCGTCGTTATTAGTCAGGCCAGGCCAGGCCAGGCAGTGACGTTCACAAAAGCCATACATGTTCCTTTCTCGGATTACATCTCCTGAACTGAATAAAATAATGTCGTGAAACTCCAATTCTCGTCCTCCTGGAATATTTGAGTCGACAATTGCAGAATAAGTGGTTCACCCTTCCAGGACAGGATTCATTAGGGGAAAATGATGATTAAAAGCAGGACCAGTTTTATTTAGTCGTAAAGATTTCAACTCTCTCGCGTTGATGGATTATGAGCAGGCAGGGAGAGTAAATTTCTGGAATTGTTTACCACGAATTAGACCAAAGTTGTTGATTAGATAGCGAGTAAACAGCTCGGCTGGGCTGGAATAAACAAGAGGTTTAAAAAAAAGAAGGAGGACATCCATCCAACACCATCAGCATCGGCGGAAGGTAGTCGTAGATAGATACGAAACAGTTTGTGGGGCTGGTTATTGTGTAGGCTGGTTCATTTTTAGTGGTTTGGTTTTGCTGAAAAAGTAAAGTAATCATCGTCAATGTGCAGGCAGACACAAAATCATGTCCATGTAGCTGACTGATATTTACCCAGTTAAAAGCCTGGATGTACTGAAAAGAGAGTCTTCTCCTCTCTGAGTGGGTTAGCAAACGGTACGAACGTGGCGTTGGTTCTCGTTTGGTATTGGTTTTTCAGGAGAGAGAATAATAATATAAATATGTAAAAAGAGAAGCAAGAGTACACAAGCAGCAGACGATGGATGTCGATGTTGTTGTTGTGTTAAAGTTACACATAATTGGAATCCTAGGAAATGGGTTGGCTTGCCTGACACAGAGTGAGGTTTTTGCTGCTGCTGCTTATATTTATATTATACTTATGAGAACACATATGTATGTAGTGTTGGTTCGTTATAAAAGAGAACCAACCACTCGCCTTGCTTGTGAGACTATTGATTTTGCTCAACTGTTTGTTTTATTGTTTGTTTATGTTGTCAGCAGTTTTACTTTTCCAGCATACATTCAAAGTAGCGTTATTGATTGGGAAATCCAATCCCGAAAATGGAGCTAAGCTAAGCACCAAGGCAGAAAGTTGTTTAGTGTGGTTACATGATTGTCGAAATCACTCCGGCGTCGTCTTCTTACGTGGACATGGTGAGACTGGCCGCTCATTATTAGGACACTTTTGTCGTGGTACGATTATTCTAGGCCGCGGAAGGTGTGGGGACATGTGGGGACGTTAACATTGTAGGATGGCGGGAGGGCCGGGTTTATATAAGATGGGGAGATGATACGGACATCGAACAAGCGTGGGGACACTGTTCCTCGGCCACTGATGAGGTGACAAAGTCCGTAATGAGTGAGAAAATGATTATGACGACGACGACCTTTTGTGAGTGTCTCCTCCTTCCACGGTGGATGGATGGACATACTGCTAATATGCATATGTATAATATACACGTCCTGGGCTATTGTCAGTGTCAGTTTATTCAGCTGAATGGGATCAAATACAGAGTAATTGGACAGACTGCGTTATTATTATTCGCTCGCTCGTCTCATTATCCGACTCCATCATCACATCACATAACCCAACCAAACCCCCCACGTGTGTCGTGGTTTATACTGCATATCATTCGCATGAGTCGCATGGTTATTACAACCTTATCTTCTGTTTACGCCAACAAGGTATCATCATAAGACACACACACAACAAGATAACGTAAACATGACGGATGGATAATGCGTGTTCTTATTTAGCTATTTATTTACTTATTTATTTATGTCCTTATCTCGATTTATGGTTCACGTAAATACGTACTTTCTCACAAAATTGGGTGCCATTAAAAGACATTTTTTTTTGCAAATTCGAAAAGTGCAAAAATCCGTGCAAAATCAGCAGTCCCGTGATGCACATATCTGTGCAAATTTCCTGCATCTGTCTAAATTTACAAAAATACATTGCACAAAATACGGCATCATCATCACCACTAACCAACCAACTACACAACACAACACGGCAAATAAAGCGAGCAGAGCAAGTTGAGACTGAGATGAGACGACTGCCGACTGGATTCTCTCCTTTTTGCCGTCTCACCTCGCCCCTCCCCTCGTTTCGTCTTTATTTCGTCTTTATTTACGCCTAGCCCAACTTGTTCTTCCATGAATCTCATCTCCACTTTCTTGACCTTGTTCAACTCTCTCGCAGCAGTGATTGCATATTATTTATGAGTCCGCTATTTACATACGGCATTCCTCCTCTCGAAGAAGAAAACATGACTAAAAACCACGTATTGTTATTCTGTTTTGTTTAGTAATTTGCACATGCATGCATACAAAAGCGATGGTGGTTCTGATGATGATCATCATCATCATACAATGACAATAACGTCGTCTCACAAATATTTCCTACTTCTTAGATATTAACAATTTTTGCAAAAACTGTTAAAAACCTGATATTTTTTTAAGCCGTACTATTTATTTATTTACTTAGCGGATAATAATGATAAGCCTTGCCTATCATTATTATCTCCCTCCCTTCATCAGAATCCGGGGATAGCACAATCCAGCTCGAGAGATGGGTTCGGTTGTTCAGTAATAAAACGCCGTTTCAGAGTTTATTGCACGAGAGAAAAGAAATTATTATTGACTGGTTGGTTGGTTGGTAGAGAATTGGATGAAAAAGCTATTTGTTGTTTACTTTACATCGCCCTTGTTGTTGTTGGGAGAGTCCAGTTCGTTCGTATTGGTGCAGCAGGAACACCAGCATTACATTAACACAGCCATCCATCCATCGCCAAGAAGAAATAACAGAGCAGCAAGACAATACAATAACAACAAGGCCTTGGGAATTCGCCTGTTGTTTATCCTTGCATTGGAAACAGGCAGACAAAACAGGACGACGAACAAATGGAGGATGGATGGATGGATGGTATGGAATAAAGTAAAGTAAAACCTCAAGTCTTTGGATACATATCTCTCTCTCCCAACCAGCCCCACGACGAAAAGCGTCAACAACAACAACAACCAACTATTGTATGTACATATACGTACCCCGTCCTAAACGTATTACTTACTTTGATACATACATAAAGTGAGGAATAAAATGCTGCTCTAAAAAACAACGTGTCTCAATAATGTTACTCCTCGGTTGATATATCCAGTCACTCCTCACTTTACTTTACTTTGGCTTTTAGTTGGGTTTAGTTAGTCCTCGGCGTGTCAGTATGTGCATGTTGTGCATGTCATCATCATGTACATGCAGTTTACTACTACCCGCACGTATATTAAACAAGAAACCAATCCCGCTAACAACAAGTACTTATCGGAATGAATCATTTATTGCTTGCTTGGTTGTCTCAACCTGGTTTTCACTGACACCAGGTGAATCTCGGTAGTGAATCCCGCTTGCTTTCTCTCATCGGGAGAAAGTGGAGAGAAAGCGGCACGAGTGAGACGAAGGTTCACGTGTGTGATCATAAGTAATAAGTGCACTTTTAACGGTGGTTAAGTTACGGTGGTGGATAAGACACCATAAAGTCGATTGATTAAGGAAATTGTTTAATCTGATATGTTTACTGACACTGAAAATATTTAAGGTTTCTTCTAATGGCGTGTAACGTGTTTAATCATTTTGTGGGTTGTTTCTTGTGGAAATTTACAAGGTATCCGCGGTGTCAAAAACAATATCATGAAATCAACTAATGGCTTCTTCTCCTTCACTTCACACACCAAAACCACACCACACCACTCATTAAGTTCTGTTGTAGTAGTTTATCCGGTTAGTTGGTTTTTGGATGGAAGAGAACGCAATTTGAGGGAGGGAACGAGAAGCGATAAGAAAAGTACAAGATGCTCGCGAGTGATAATTCAAGTACATCATAAAACAAAAGCCACAAAGTCCTCGTCATGCAACATTTTCGATTTATGGACTCTTTCTTCTTCTGGCACTTGTGCAGAAAATGATTCATTGAAGGATAAAGTGGGGAAGGAATAATTTACGGGGAGATTTATTACCAAACCAAGGAATGTAATGTAACGTATGTATAAAACGTCTTGTTAACTTTATGATGAGACGGGCAAGGCTCTCACTAATAATTCTGGATTCTTACCTCCTTGTCCAGTCCAGTGGTAGAAATTGAGACGGTACACAACAACCCGGCTCACTAAAGAGAAAGCTGGTTGGTTGGTGAATGTGCCAGTCTTGGTTTGTTAGTGGGTGATAATAATAAAAATCCGACCATTTAGTGCTCGCTAGTGGCTTAAGTGGCCTATCTTCACTCGCATCCATGGAAGGATAAATGTTCACGGGGGAGATGAGGCAGGAGAAATCGGATGTAAGTGTTGTGTTGTTGCATACGACGGGATTCTCTACGGAGAAAAGGAGAGAGATAACATCATTAGACTTTCTCCTCTGCTTTCTTTGTTGTGTGGTGAAAGGAGAGAACAGACTTTCTTGCCCTCTATTTCACTTCACAACTTCTTTACGTACTTCCTTCCTCATTTTTTTCGTCTTTTTCTGAGGAGTCGGGGTGTATGAATCTGTAAAGAGTTGCATCTTCTGCTTTCTTTTGCTTGTGTTGGTGGTTTGGTTGGTGGTGACGGGGAAAAATGATGGAGTGTGTGTATATGAACAGCGTGCTTTCCTTCTAGTTCAGTATGTATGTATGTACGTCTCAAGTTTCTGTTCTGTCCTCTCCCGTGAAGGAATGCGTTCTTTTTTCCTTGCTGAGATTGAGATTCATGCGGGTAACCGGATGATTTTACGACAAATAAGTGTCAGACGTCTTCCTCCTCCTTTCTGGGGGTAAATGGCGTGATGGAGTGGACGTGGATGGACCCCCTTGAGAAAGAGGGTGTTGTTATAACACAAATTTGTATCATTATGCCACTTACTTACTTGAGGCTATTGTCCTCCTCGGGGTGACGCTAATTTTACCTCGTACTACAAATTTGCATATGACAACGTACTTATCTGCATATGGAGGAAGATGATACCACTGCGGGGGGAATATTGATGAGGTGATTGTTGAGGAAGCGACCGAGATGCCAGTCAAGATTGTGAGATGCTTTAAAATGAACCATGTGAACAATCTGGTCTCTTGTGTTTTTCAGGATGGCGCAATAATGGACGGAGACGGTGACGGTGATGGCGTTATTAATCTGTCGCAACGACCCTCCGCTGCAAACACGCCGAACGGAAGCATCGAGTACGAGGACAGTGGCCAGGTTAGACATTTGTAATTTTATCATAATTTTTGCCCCGTTCACATTTAAATCGTCGACGACTTTCTCCCGGGTCCAATTCCACACTAATCGACGTAATTGTAAGAAATGGTGAAATTTGTGCAGCCCGTGTTATGACGAGGAGACAAAGACGAGAGAAAGCGGTGGTGGTGGTGGTGGTGGTGGTGGGGAGACAGGTGATTATGTACCTTAAATGCCACTCATACTCTCTGGAGAGAGTGGTTGATTGCCATGTCACAAAGTTTGAGCTTTTCATTTCAACCTACCACCACCACCACCAGTCGTCGTCCTGTCCTTGTAGTAAAAGTCACAAAATAGTGAGAATAAGACGAGTGGGTTGCGTGGACAAATTGTGAAAGAGCTTTATATTTACGGAAAGTTATAATTAGAAATGAAGCTAATTTTTCATCTTTTGTTTTTCCAAAGATCCCATTCCTCTATTTTAATTAACGCTAAGACAAATGCCAGGTGGATTAGGGGCTGACTTTTACCCTCGCCCTCGCCTTGCTCTCTCCCATTGTCTCATAGGTACATAAGCTACTCGCAAATAGGAGAAGTTGTGAAGAATTCCCTGAGAGATGAATTTGTCACTTTTGTTCTCAAATCCTCCCGAAAGTCTGACACTCATCTTTAGGTCACTATCAATCGGCTTTAACAAAAATTACGCCAGCCTGCCCGTCTCTATCCATCCAATTCCTTTATCTTCTCTGCGACAGTTCAATTTTCCATTTCCAAAAACTTTCTCATTTAGAAAACGTAAACTTTACTCTTTTTCACGTTCCACTTCAAAAGAGTTGAGCCGCCCGACGCCACTCTTAGTTGCCATTAATTAGAAACAAAGCAATTTGTTTAATTCCTTCAACTTTTCCTCATTGCAATCAATCCTCTCCCTCCACCGGCGTGCATGCCTCCTGCCTCCTCCACTAATTGATGCCGAGGCAGGCACATCGTCCTCGTCGGCCCACACTTTGCTCAATTTCTCAAGAGCACAATTCATCTCGAGAGGAGGTGACACTTTCAAAAATGAACATCAAATCTCATCATTACTTTGGAAAACATGACTCGGTTTCGCTACATGGAGGAAATCTGGGGTAGTTAGGCACGTATTGGTTTCTAGGGGGTAATGTAGGTGCTACCGATTGGTGTTAAAATTATACTAGGTGGTAAAAATTTGATACCGATATGGTAACACTATTACTCTTATCAATACCACTTTGGTAGAGTCGCTTTTGGTATTAAAATTAACTATACTGGTTCGTATATATCATTTTGGTAAAACTTTAATACCGATCTATGACTTATCAATACCACTTTGGTAGAGTCATAGGTACATGAATACCACTTGGTACTACTTTAATACTGGGTTTCTAAGCGTGTACATAAAATCTGGCTCGATTTAAATCCATATTATTCCTATGTACATCTGATCCTTATCACTCATGTTTTTTGGTCTGCCTACGTCACAAAAAGTATTAATTTCATTTGCAAAATCCGTCAACGTACCGTGTACCGTTTTGCATACGACTGGCTCAAAAATTGAAAACCTTCTTTACTGATTATGTATGTACACAAGAGTGGGTCGTGTCGTGTCACCCAAAAAATGATGATGCTGATGCTGATATTCTTTGACATTTGAGGTGAGAAAATGCCACTCGAAATGCATTATTCATACCACCACCTCCACCAATTTGCATGGGACGCTCTCCCTCCCAACTTGAGAAATTGTTTTATTGGTGACTTTTTTACACGAAAAAATGAGACGTCTCTGTACAGAAAACTTGAGAATTTTAATGACTCCAACCAGTGATTCTCTCCTCGTTTGTCCAACAACAAACAGACAGACAGCCTCGCACACAAAGTGAGATACACGGCGTGGCGTGGCTTGTCGTGGACGGGGCGTTGTGTCGAGTTAAAGTAAATGTTGTGCTCTTCTCACTCACTCAGTCAGCCACTAGTCATGGTCCTCTCCTCATATCTATTATGTATGGCATGGGAACTAGAAAACATTTTGAAATTTGTATCCAATTTACTTTGTTTATGCAACAGAGGGAGAATGAACGGTCTGGATGATGTCGTCCTCCTCTGCCTCAATTGAATTTGGGACGCAGGCAGCAGAGAAGCTTGTTTAGATTCCTACTCGGCTGTTTAGTTTAGCCCAACAAAGAAAACAGTCATGTGTTTATTCTGCTTGAAATAGCAGTGAGTGCATGGCTTTCTCCAATCTTCCTCCTTCTCCCACCACTGCCTCTTGTTTGGCACGAGTAAACAAACGGTGGGTGCAATATACAATGCTTTCACGAAGAGGAACAAGCCCATTATCATGACTCCCATGCATGGCAACGGATAGACGCAAATAATAATAACACTCCTCGCCGATGCCCCCCCCCTTCTCGCCAGGCCAGGCTTTTTAAATATCATACACGTCAATCATTCCCCACACCACGTATTAAAAAAAGAGAGACATTGGGTAACCGATTCGTCGATAAAGGGTATTTATTTTTAGTCACTTCTTCTTTTTTTGCTACTTGAACCAACTCTTCGAGATTCGTCACCCGGCTCTCGAGTAAGTCGTGAATGAGCAGATTTTAAACTAAATAAGTAAGTGTTGTGTTGGGATGACGAGTCGTATTTGAATCAAGTGGTGGTGGTGGTGGTGGTGGTCGTGATGGCAGTTTGAATTCTGGGGGGAGGAAAATAAATATAAAAAGAGGGTGACTCTCTCTCTTCTCTCTCTCTCGTGGTTTGGTTTGGTTATTATTGTTGCTTGTTGTTTTATTTACCAGGAAGAGAGAAGCAGCAATATCGTTGGTTTTTAGCTCGGAATCCTGCCTCAAAATCCGTTCGTCATCATACTCATCATGGATGATGATTTACTTTATTTCGTATTTTGTTGTGGTGTTGGTTGGTCGAGGTGGGTCGATGTGTTATTTGCGGATTGAACACATCCATGCATCCGCGGCGGACAATGTTTGTTAAAGAAAGAGGAGGAGGAAATGATCGATACAAATACACACATAGAGCGAGGAGGCCAAGGCGAAGGGGATATTGCTCCGAGGGACACACAATGCCTGCCGAGAGAGAGAGAGGACTTCGTCAGTTGTTTAGATTACTCAGGCATCCATCTGCAGAATAAACAGAGGCGTAATTGCGCTCCGCGATAGATTGGTGATGTGATGTTCGGATGGACAGGGGAGAAAGCAAGCGGCGGTAGTGTAAACATTCCCATCGAGGTCCATCTCTCCACAATGACTTATTGTTCCCATTTTAGAAGCAACCCTACCACCACGACCACCATTGTCTCAACTCCCTGCATGCAATTAAAGGGAAAAAGTCCCCCCTAAAATTCTCGATGGGGAAAAAAGAAGCGTCGCGCGACTGCTGCGGCGGATTGATGAGAAGAAGAGAGCAGATCAATTTAAAAGAAGTTGAAGTTGATTATAAACTAAAACCGAGTCGAATAATCAAATCTGCCCGAGAAAGAAAGAAGTCGAAAGTGAGAAAGTGAGAAAGTGAAACAATACTGAGGAGGGAATAATGGCGTGGCGTGAGCTGTTGTGGTGGTGGTGGTGGTGGTTATCGTGGTATAAGAATATTACCGGGTTTTGGATATGTAGTGCATGAATGAATTGATGAATATTTTTTCCCTCTCTCTCTCTCACATCTTCTTGTTCTTCTTCGATAACGGCCCCGAAGGCGGGTAAGCTTTTACTTACTCGTAATAATGACCTGTCGTGGGCTGAGATGGGAAATATTACCGTCATTAAGCAAAAGAAGTTTCAAAGAAAAATGACGAAGTCAACAAAACTCTCTCGGAGAGAGTAACCCTTCTTCTTCCTGACTGCCTACTAAGCACCAAAATAATAATTCTCAGCGTAACATAATTAAAGTCCCGCACCGATAAAAATGCATACATGGCACCTTGCTTGCTCGGCGTCCCAATAATTATAGGAAATTAATATGCACGCCGACAACTCTCTCTCTCTCTTTCCATTGTGTCCTCGTGGGCGGCTAAAACGGAGTCTCAGACAAATCACAAAAAAGTGCTTTCCCCACAGCAGCAAACCACGAATCCGAGGAACATGATGTTCCGTGGGGCACGTTGAGAAAACGGGTTTCTTCTCCTCCACCCACGGTTTGACATTTCTGCCTCCCTCGGGTCGGTCTACGGGAATATTTTTTTTTGTGCCTGATGAGAAATGAAGAATGCAAAAAAAGTAGATGTATAATTTTCTAGTTGTTGGTTCTCGCAGAGAAAGTTGAAGGTTTGGTTTGGTTTGGTTTACCGCACCGCACGGGAATTTATTATTCTGAGAAATTATCATTTTCTGAATTCCACAACGTCATCATGTAGAAGAGGAGTCGAGTCAAATGAAAAATTTATTTTCAAAAGGATATCTAAAACACAGCACAATCTTGGTGAAACATTGCTCATTTTTCGGGACAGCAAAGTTAGTTCTTTCGCGTGAGCAATCATGCAGGAGAGAGAAAAAGAGGTTGGTGGGGCTGGAAGTTGCACCCACACCGCATTAAAAACGCTTACTTCTTTTCCCTCCATCCCGTAAATATGACGAGGACGATCTTGCCAACTTTTTCTGTTCCGCAACCTCTGGGACCAACTTGTTCCACGGACAGCCTCACTCTCAATATAGAAACATTGTTCTTCTTCTCCCGAGATTTCGGCTGTGAGAAAAGATGAGACGTGTTTTGGACCCGTCAAGTGGGATGCGACCAAGATTGACACTGGGACGTCAGCGAGAGAAGGGAAATGTTTATATAATCAGCCACCAACCATCCTCCGCCCTTGGTTCATATATAACTCTTTTCCACTTTTTTTTTACCCTCTCCGCCAGGTATTTAGCATTCAGAACAAAAAGTCGGGACCTCAATCAGACACTTGTGTGTGACGGAGTGTAGGGAAGGCTGGCTGGCTGTGTGTGATGATGAGATGCTGGTGTCATCACAATCCGAATAAAGGTTGATTT